CCAGGTCAAAGAGATGTGCTTTTGGTCTAGATTTAAACTAACAGTGTGTCTCCTTCCCGGACAATGCTAGGAAAACTATTCCAAAGTTTAGGTGCTAAATAGAAAAAAAAAAAAATTATTGTTGCATAACAGAACAATAACAACATACACAGAGGAACACAAGGCAGTCAGCTATTATCTACTACATCCATAATAGCATCAAAGGAAACAGAATAAAAATTTTAAAAATCAAATGTAGGCGCGTGGTAAGCGCGCTCATAATAGAAGCGACGCGGCGCTAGTTTTTCCGGGCGCGCCTCTGTTCATGGTTGCATAGCAACACCAGACGCCACGGGAGAGCAAGCGCTTGTGGAAAGGAGAAAGCGGTGCGAACTGCGCTCTCCATGAGGACGAGGAAGTATCAGCATAGATTGATTTCTAGCCCTTGCATTAGCTTTACCACTAGACATATTTATGGAGATGAGAAATAAAAAGCCGCCCTGTAGAGCTATGATCAGCTGTGCGGCCGAGCTTTCGGTGATGTTACGGAAAGGCCGAAGCTGATCGGTTGGTTTTTGTCGCATGACCTGTTGAGATGTTTCATCTCGCCCCGGCATAGCCTACATTTGAAATAATGAATTTGCACCCGCAAAAAACGCGATATGTGATTGGCCCCTAAAGTGGACTCGGGTGCAGTTGTATCGGGGTAGTTTCACGAGTACGAGTACATGAGCACAGTATCGGGCCGACACCCGAGCACTGGTATCGGTGCATCCCTGTTTATGTCTTTAATATCAGTCCGTCAGAAAAGCAGTTCTAGGCTTATTCTTGGCTGGATAACGCTTAGCAGGTTTAAAAAGCCCTTTTAAAATTAAATATGAACGCAATTTTTGATTAAATAAAAGTACAGTCAAGTCAAATAAAAGATGTTTTATCTCCTGTATAGTTTGGTAACACTACAATAAGATATCATTCATTAACATTACTTAATGCGTTATCTAACATCAAAACATTGAGTGAACAATATATTTTTACAACATTAATTAATGTTTGTGAATGTTATTAAATACAAACACTTGATTCGTCATGTTTGTTCACTTCATTTATTGTGGATTAAATAATGTTAACAGATTTGTATTAGTACATTTTTAAATGAACCCCAAGGAGAAGAATTGCTACAATATATAACTATTGTTTATTGTTAGGTCATTTTATCTAATGTTACATAACAAATGGAATCTTTTTGTAAAGTGTTTTTAAACTGCAGTTTCTATCTTGGTAACCGTGATATACACTTAAATATATGTAAATTTAATCTAAATTAAGCTTTGGTACCGAAATTGTTACCGAGAACCGTGGATTTTCACTGGTATTGGTACCGAATACTGAAATTTTGGTACCGTGATAAGACTAACGTGAAGGACTATAATCCGTTCAGAGCTCGCTCAAGTACTGCGGAGCTAAACCATTTAGTGCTTTGTAAGTAATCAAAAGTGTATACGTTTAATAGGCAGCCAATGCAGTGTTGACAGAACCGGGCTAATATGGTCATATTTCCTGGTTCTGGTAAGAACTCGAGCTGCTGCGTTTTGGACTAGCTGTAGTTTGTTTATTAAGCGTGCAGGGCAACCACCCAGTAGAGCATTACAGTAATCTAGCCTTGAGGTCATGAACGCATGAACTAACTGTTCCGCATTCGTCAATGAGAGCATATGGCGTAATTTAGATATATTTTTAAGATGGAAAAATGCGGTTTCACAGATACTAGACACGTGGCTTTCAAATGAAAGATTGGTATCAAAGAGCACACCCAGGTTCCTAACCGACGACGGAGACTTAACAGAGCAGCCATCAAGTGTTAGACAGTATTCTAGGTTACTACGTGAGGAAGTTTTTTGTCCAATAATCAGAAACTTTTTTCAGAATTATTTTTTTTATATTAGCTATGCATTCCGTTAATTTTGTGAAATGCTAACTTTCGTCAGCATAACAGTGAAAACTAATTCCATGTTTCCTAATGATATCTCCTAATGGAGTGAGTGAGTGAGTGAGTGAGTGAGTGAGTGAGTGAGTGAGTGAGTGAGTGAGTGAGTGAGTGAGTGAGTGAGTGAGTGAGTGAGTGAGTGAGTGAGTGAGTGAGTGAGTGAGTGAGTGAGTGAGTGAGTGAGTGAGTGAGTGAGTGAATGTAGCATGTACAGAGTGAACAGCAGCGGTCCTAGTACTGAGCCTTGTGGTACGCCATACTGAACTTGTGATCAATAAGACATCTCTTCATTTATTGCTACAAACTGATAACGGTCAGATAAGTATGATTTAAACCATGCTAGTGCAATTCCACTAATGCCAACATCATTTTCAAGTTTCAACATTTCATTTTTCATCATTATCTTTGACAGAAAAGGCAGATTCGAGATCGGCCTGTAATTGACTAATTCTCTAGGATCAAGTTGTTTTAATAAGAGGTTTAATAACAGCCAGCTTAAAAGTTTTCGGTACATATCCTAATGACAAAGATAAATTAATGATTTTAAAGGGTTAGTTCACCCAACAATGAAAAGTGTCATTAATTACTCACCCTCATGTCGTTCCAAACCCATAATCATCTTCGGAACACAAATGAAGTAGCCTGGTAATACCAGACTCTGCTACTTCACTTTGCTTCGTAGACAGAGTCTGGAATGGCATAATAGAGAAGTGTTTTCTCTCTCGCTAGGGGGCGCTTGTCTGAAGTTTAAAATCATTGGTTACCCGTAAGCCAATCAGATAAGTTTATATATGACGTATGTTATGCGCCGACACAGCCGCATCGAACCACAGACATCATGCATCGAACTCAGATCTATGATCGAACTTTAAACCTGCTGTAAACACTTGATGATGCGAGCGAAATACCGGAGTGAACATGACTGTAAACGACTTTTGCAGATTATGCGAAGTTAATCTACGCATCCACGGTACAATCAGGGCCTCTAAACTGATATTTGACAGTAGAGAGAAACAAAAAAAAATTTGCAGCCAACTGTCAAAGTTAGGATTAGTTCTGTTAAAGCTTTTTGTTCATCTCGAGTATGTCAGAAATGCTGCAACTTAATTGCAAGATTACAGCATGTCATGGCAATATTTAAGACCTGGAAAAGAAAGGAGACACTGACCTGTCAAAAAGCTCCCCAGTTTCTCGCTGACGATCGGTAATAGTTGATAAATCAAACTTTTCCCAAAGGGAGTAGGGCCACAACATCACCTCCATTCAAAATGTTTAAAACACACTCTTCGTGTTCGGGCTTCAGTTTGCTAATGCCGGGAATATTCTCCACAACTGAGCGAATTGCATCCGCGTCTCCATATCCGCGGTCGTTTTCGATTTCCCTGACCTAATCTTAAACTCAGCGCTTAGCGACTACGTCACGGCTTTCAGCCCGCCCTCTGTTCGTTGATTGGCCGGCTGTTTTCAGGCCGGAGGAAAACGGATAGATAGGCCGCTGTCTCAGACTGAGTACAGAAGCAAAATGAAATTGAGCGGAAGTGCGAAGTCTGACGTAGTCAGGCTACAAATGAAGATCATTTTGATGAAATCTGAGAGCTTTCTGTCCCTCCATTGACAGACGCGTCATTGCAACTTTCAAGGCTCTGAAAGGTAGTAAAAACATCGATGAAATAGTCCATGTGACTACAGTGGTTCAACCTTAATATTATGAAGCGACGAGAATACTTTTGGACGCAAATGATGAGAGAATATTAAAATATCCTCATTGGTGTTTCGATGAACTTATGGGTTTGGAATGACATGATGACAATTTCATTGTGTGGGTTAGTGTTGCTTTCGTCAACGAAAATTATGACTAAATATCGTCGTCAACGAACCTTTATCACGTGACGAAAACGAGATGAGACGCAACGTAAATGCTGGTCATGTGACGATGACTATAATTAAATGAATAATGCAATATTGTTGACGAATCAAAACGAGAATAAATGTGGTTTGCCAAATAAAAACTGCTAAAATGTCTCTTCATTTCGTTGACCAAAACGAGACGAAATGTTATTTAACGTTATTTCGTCTCGTTAACTTGCATTATTATAATGCAGCATTTCTGTTTCGTGTGTCACTTCAGGGGCGGCATCAGATCGCACTGCGCAGACGCAGGCGACTTCACATCCTCGAGCCCCACTCGCGGCATTATTTAGAGATGCAGCTGCGTGAGTTACGGCTGTTTCACACACACTCCGTGTGTAGTGCGTATGCGGTGCGTGTTGCGGTGTGTATGCAGGAGCAGCACGAGCTATTGTGCTTTCACATGTGCTCCGTTTGCAGTGCGCAACTGATCTACGGCTGTACCACAATCACACTCTATTTTTTTATTTCAAATCAATATTTTTAGCCTACATCCATTATGTCGTGTTGTTGAGGTACTGTGTAGATCTCTGCTCTGCTGTTATGCACGCACCGCTCCTGGAGCGCATTGCCGGACCGCATCCGCGTGCGTGTGAGCGCTCTAACCATAGGCTCTACATGGGTACGGGAAAAAATACGGAGTATGTGTGAAACAAGCATTAGCATAAACGACAACAAACAAAGTTAAGTCTGACACAGAGAAAGGGATTCGTCTTTGGGAGAAAAAGAAGAAATTACATTTGGAAAACCTTTCATTTCATCATGTGTGTAGGCTACTTCTAACATGTTTGGTTCGTAAAATAAATATGTTAAATTCAAATCAGAGCGTCTTTCGTGTCTGAAATGGATGTGTTCTTGAGTCTATAAGGTAACATAAATATAATAAGATAACTATAAGAAGATAAGATTGTTTGAAATGGGTTTGGCTAAAAGAAAATTTTAGTTTCGTCTATACTACTAGGTATTTATACTATATTGACTGGGTTAAATAGAATTGCATTACTAAAAAGAGACTAAAATACAATTTTCATTGACTAAAACTAGACTAAAATGTCATCAGATCCAGTTAATAAAAAAGAGCAAGGTGTGAACTGTATGTGCTGATGTGATAATCACTGATCTCTTGCAGGAAAAGCTGCTTGACTGGGCGAAGGAAGTGGCCCGATCCAAACCCAGCGGCACAGATGGCAACCTCATAGCGGAGGACTTTGTAGTTAGTGTACGTGGGAACATCTCATTTTGTTTGTGCATCTTTATCTAGTCCTGTGAGGTAATACCAATAGTTTTAAAATGGCAGTTACAGGGGAAGGGAACGTTCTGTTAAGACATATGTATTACCAGTTGAGAAGTGCGTGCTTGTTCATGTCTATTTCTTTTTGTTATTGTGACTGCTGATGTAAGTCGTGTCCTCTAGCGGTTGAGGTGTAAAACGTTGAGTTGCTCGCGGAGGAACATGTGGCAGGTGATGGTCTGAGGCGTACCAGTGTACCAGGCCATCATTTTATCCGTCTAATGACGTCAAAACAGCTCAAACTATAAGCTTAACATTGTAAATCTGGATAAGGATACAGTTAACCAACAGGTATTGTGTTCTGCAGGTATAAGCACAACTAAGTAACACGTGTCTTTGATTATTGAATTTGTTGTGGAATGGACAATGTTGTTTGTGCACTGTTTTTAATTGTTCAGATATTAGTCTCTCTGTTAATGAGCTTACAGAACCTGCATGTGTAATTAAACGAGAATCAGCTGGGTGTTGTGTTGTGTAGTACAGCATGTCAAACTGCACTAAAGGTGTTCTGTCAACTATCCTCATTTGTTCTTCAGGTCATTCACATGGATTATGGAATGAAGGAGAAAAACCCCATCAACAATGTCCATTTTTACTGCAAGAACGATCCCAGTAAAGCCATCAAGATCCGCAAGAAACAGGTACGCAGATTTTTTCTCTCCAGATGTTTAGGAAGATTCCCCTTCCTCTTTAGTCCAGCTGAAGGGTGTTACAGTTTATTTATAGCACGTTTCATACACTATGGCAATTCTAGGTGTTTTACACAGAAAGGAATTAAAATCATCACAAAATAAAAGCAAGGAAATTAAAACAGACGTCTTCGATGGACCTGATTTTTCCCTAAAATCGGACAGGAGATTAGGTACAACGTGATCAGGTATACTCACTAACATACAAGTAGCATTTTCAGTTATCAGTATTTGATTGTCCTGTGATCAGCAGCCCTACAGAGGACAAGCCGATTGGAGGATGGATGGATGGAGTTTTTGGTAGGAAGAAAGAAAATGAATGAAAGATTTAATAAATGCACAAAATCCAAAGCTCAAACGTGCGCAGGTGAAGTGAGCCGTGACTAACAACAGCGCTTAACACAATCAGTGGAGCAATGTCTGGGTGCAGACGGCCCTAGTAAGAAAACACACACAACCTAGGATTTATAGGTGCAAAATCCAAATAAAACATGCAGGAAGATTGTGGATTTTAGTTTAGATATGGGGAATGTGATGCAGTTTTTCGTTACAAACTGTTTTCTGTACAGTGTATTACCACAAAGACAAACATAAATGTCTACAAAGTTGATTCTGAATAAATGTCCATGTTAATTTGAATGAGAACACCTGAGAGAAGTGCTCCTGATGGCCGTGTCGCACGACAGGTGTCCAAACTCCTGCCGGAGCAGTTCGCTGAGCAGCTGATCAGGGTCTTCTGTAAGAAGACGGATGACAAGAGCCTCGAAGCTGCTAAGAAGTACTTCGTCCAGTGGTGCATGGACAGCAACTTCACTAAACCGCAGGTAAGACTGGGCGACCCGTCTGCATCTCCAGCTCTGCGGCAATTCATTGACATTTAAAAAAAAATTATTTGCACATTCAGTTCAGATTGTTATTTTGAAATTCAACAATCTATTGCTCAGTTTATGGACACATTTATGTTGTTTTTGTATACATTTTATTTGAAGGTTTAGTTAAACAATCGTTTGAGAATGAACACACACCGTGGACTAGGGCTGGGTAAAAAATATCGATTTCTCGATATTAATCGATTCTCATTTTTACGAACTGATATCGATTCTTAAATCTCAACAATCGATTAGTCATCCTGTTTTCAGTTGATGAATGAATGGAACATTGTAGCGCGCATCCCATCCAATAAATCCCAATAATCTTTGTGCTTTGCTACTATTGATACTAAATAAAGTCTCAAATTTCAAATTACTTCCATTTTCTTACGAAATTCAAAAACATAAATAGTGTTTTGGCGTGAGATCGCTCTGGCTCAGCTCAAGAGAAGCTCATGATCTCCTCTTCCGCCTTAATAACACCAGTTACAGCGCCAAATAAACATGAACGAGCATCTGAAAGTGTGTTAAAGATAGAGTACAACTTATCGAAATCCGTATCATGTCACATGGAATCGCTCAATCAGTGTTTCACCCGTGGAAAGACGTCAGTAAAACGCTTGTAAACAATGTCATGTAACGTCACATTTACCTCAGAAAACACATGTGTGACCATAAACTCGTTAGTCAGCTAGAAAAATTAACTCTAAAGAGGAGCATTTTGCTAAATATATGCACCATATTACATATTCATTAGGCATAAAAAAAATTTTTGTTTGGTTCCGGTTTCCGACCGACCCTGTCAATTTATGTGCGACCCAAATTTATTTTATGAGCTTGGGGAAGAAATAATAAAAAAATTTAATAAATACGCAAATAAAAAACTTTGAGGCGAACTATAATTTACGTTTTTGTACAGCACGCGATGCAAGATGCCATCTGTTGTCCTCCAGCAAAACAAACGAGGCAGCTACATGGTCGTTCACACATCGTTCGTCAAACTGAACTATAATACATATACAAGTCTTTTTCTTTTTTTTTTTGTCATTTAGGACACTTTTATTCATATACCCACACATACAAATGCATGCATTCATAGGCACGCACAAACACCACATGATGCGTTAAAGAGTAACCTCCATCCGCCTCCCAAGTTTCATTAAAAATCATCCCAAATCCCAATACCCTCTTCTGCTGTCTACCACTTCTTTCGCCATGTATTTGTTCGTTTTTTTTATTATTTTATGCAATCCAAAACACACTCTAACCTGCCGCGCTTCGTATCTCCAGAGCCCGTCTAACTTGTCCGCTTGTCCGCGACAAATGGATTTTTGAAGGACAAGTAAAAGAGAATTTTACTTGCCCGAACGGACAAGTAGCCTGATTAGAACATCAATAACAAACAAAAAAATAACTAGGGAATCACTAAACCGAGAGAATGATTCTGATTTTATTACATTTATTGTAAGTTGCGATCGATTGTGGATAATAAATGTATTAGCCTGCTGACGGTGAGGTTGCGCTGTTGACGCTCGCGCAGCCTCTCGAGGAGAAATCTACACACATGAGCGCAGCACACACACACACACACACAGGTTAACAACATACTGCCTATAAAAAATCTAAATGTGGAGTTTCTATATTTTAACATGTGTTAAGCAGCCTCAATTATTTTTCCTGAATACCATATCACGATTGAAAATGTGACATTGATTTCCTACAACAGTTCAATAAACAGTTAAAATTAAGTCACTTACATTTTAGATGAATATTGGCTGTTTTTGTTCTGTTGCTGCAGCGAAAATAGTTCCAAACAAAAATCACAGCAGAACCACGGCGCATCTCACAGGAACACTCAACCTGTTTTCATTATTGAATGATTCAGCATTTTGACCGAATCGGTTGAGTCAAAGATTCAATGACCCATTAATTAACATCTGTCTCATTCTTGAATGAATCAACCGTTTAAACGAATCGTTTGAATTAATGAATCAATGACTCACTCATTAATACGGCCGCCTGCCGCCACCTATTGGCAGTTTAGTGTTATGTTTATAAGTAGCCTAGTATACTTCTTTCCAATGTTTCTTATTTATACATTTAAATAAATTTCATAACATTATTTTATGCAATTGTAATTTTTCAGTGTAAAATATTTAATTTTATCAGCCCTACCTAGGGTAACAGTATGCTTCATCTTTCATTTTAAATTCCTAAATTTGATCAATAAATTCATTTATTTAGAATAAGACGACACTATAGGGCATTTAATAAGATTGGGCGAGGGGATTCCCTTCAAAGGTGCAGATATTACAATATCCCAATTTAAATATCAAAGCTGATTGAACACTGATGAGAATATTGCTTCAGAATAAATAAATAAAATTTAAAAAAATCCGGACAAGCAACTTTTTTGATGTGAATGACAGATTTACTTGTTCGGAGGGCAAGCACATGAAAAGGCTTAAGGTCGAGCCCTGAATAATTTCCTACCTATCCCTTGCTGCCACAAAAAAAAAAAAAAAAAAAAATCCCTACTGACCATGACCTCAACTGACAACAAACCGGAACCAAACTTTTTTTTTTTTTATGCCTTATAATTTTTAATGTTCTTCGATATTTAATGCATGTTTGAATAAATCTGGCAAGTTTTTATGACAGCCACCATTTAAATGTTTATACTTCATATAACTTTATTATTATAAAAATAAATAAAAGTGTAATTTAAGTGTTTGTAGAGCTACAAATCAGTTCATTTTTACCTTCAATATTATAGTAGGCTAATGAAGCCTATAGGCTACAACTGACTCCCATAGTTTACAGCATTAGTTAAGAGATTTGGTTTCCTTGAGACGATTTGCCATGTATTGTACCTGATATCCAAAATAATCAATATCGAATCGGAATCGGAATCGAATTGTGAAATCTGTGTCAATACCCAGCACACGGTGAATGGTGTTTGTGTGGACTGGATGGATGGCACTGGTGACCGTGTGTTGTGTTCCAGGACGGAGATGTCATCGCTCCAGAGCTCACGCCACTCAAGCGAGACTGGCACACGCTGGAGCAGGACGACAGTGACAGCGAGGTAGATGAAGGCACGCGCCCGGGAATTAGAGATCAGACGCCCAAGAAGACGGGACGCAGTGTAAAAGTCAACCTTTTTCAAGCTCAGGGAGAAAGCAAGCTCTGAAGAACTGGCCTTGGCTCTCAGCCAAGCTTTCGTATTGAGGATCACTGGAGATCAGCAGATGCTCATTCAATCATTCAAAGTGTTTTCAAACTTCAGTTAAACGGTATTTTCCTCTTCAGTTTTATTTTCAGCTTTCATGTCTTGTTCTTTATCAGGGTTTTAATTCAGGTCAGCCCTCTGACACCGAGACGCTTTATCATTCGCTCCGGAATGAACGATCATGTCTCTCTCCACTATCATGCTTTGACGCAGAGGGAAAGGTCAATGCCTTTTGGCATTCTTCTGTTATTTTTTATTTATTTACAAAGTTTTATTCGGGACTCTGCTACTTGTTTATGTTGTTGAACAGCTCACACATGAATCTGCTCATTTTCATTATACTGGGTCTTTTCTCAAATGTGATGACAACAGATATGTTATATATCTTTATTTGGGCAGAATGTTTTTTAATACTTGAAATACTTTATATAACAGTAGTTGGTGGTATGACCCTTTTGTCCTCAGCGATTTTCTTGGATCTTATTTCAAATGTTCTCATCTTATCAATACAGGGCTTTACTGTAAACCAAAACCTCCATGATCGTGTTGTGCTCGGTTAAACTCCTTTAAGTCTGTTGTACTGAAACAGGTTGAGTTAAGGAATGTAGTGACATAAAGCATGTTGTGCGTGGAGATTTGTTCTGATGTTGAATCAATGCAAACTCAATCAACAGCAAAAGGATTCAAACGGCAATGCAAGGAGAAACTATATCATTTTGTGAAACTAAATGAGAAACTATATTCATTTATGTTCATGATATGTGTATGCTTTACTTTTGCTTTGTGATGATTTATCTGTTGGATGTACAGTACAGAATTCACTGAGTAAAGGGCCGACTGAGATGAATGTGTCTGTACCAGATTTAGCAGTAAAAGCTCTACAATGACATTCACTTCTTTAATCCCCCACTAATGGCTGTTTAGGTTTTGTCAAATATCTGATAGTGTGAAAAGGGTCACGACATAAAAATTCTCTATAATGCAGGCCAGACAAGTAATTTGGCAATGTCAATTTGTAAAGAAAACTATGCGCATGCGCACATACATTTAAACGCGCATACCTATAGACTAAACACACAGTATGCATGTGCACGCCGTCTGCGTTTTCACAGATTCACGTTTTTGAAGTTTACATGGAGATGATAACGTTTTTAAAAAATGTGTGAAACTTGCACCTCGGAATCTATTTCAAAGCTTGCGTTCTCGAGCCACCAGACACCTGTCATGCAAATGAGCGGCCAGAACACATTAAAAGTTTTCAGTTAGAGCGGTGTCGTGTTAGCGGCCCCTAAGTTAATGACTAATGATCTTTGCATCGGAAGTGACTCAATCAAAACTGACTTTAGCTGGACAATAACTTTATTCTAGAGCTGCTGTAAAGCCTAAACAATCTCTGTTACTGTAATCTCCTGTTATCACTGTAAAGCTGCTTTGAAACAATCTATATTGTTAAAAGCGTGACATGTATTTCTAACAGTTGTTTGGCACCATTGACTTCCATAGTAGAAAAAAAAATACTAAGTCAATGGTGCCCCACAACTGTTTGGTTCCAATCGTTCTTCAAAATATCTTCCTTTGTGTTCAGCAGAAGAAAGAAACTCACACAGGTTTGCAACAACTTGAGGGTGAGTAAATGATGACAGAATTTTCATTTGTGGGCGGAGTATCCCTTTAATAGGTCAATAGAAGCCTTCTCATTAAATTGTTTATTATTGTTTTTTATTAGTGACACATCCGGGGAGAGGATATATTCCAAAACTTTCTGAAAATACAGTATGTGAATTAACTACACAATTACTAGAAGTGTTTACCTTGGATATTATACAATTTGCATGCATACAAAATAAGTCCTCACATTCTTTCTTGTGGTCTCTCAGTGACACACCTGACTGAAAGGCTCATTACTCAGGATCATTCACGCCCCCGCACATATTGCCTTTCCAAACAAAACGTGTGTCTTACAAAATCCATGTATTGTTTTATGTGAATGGTTAGGCAGGATGATTTTCAGATCATTTTGAAGCAAATACTCTAGGCGACAACATCCATTAGTCAAAAGTCTTGTGGACACATATTTAGTATGTGTTTTGTGGCCTTATTTCAGAAACTTTAAGTTTTAGTTTTTTCAATAACCATGCATAAACAATATTCTCTCAAAAATACAAACATGTACATACATGTTGCTCACATATTATGGTAGCCCTGTTTGTGCTAAATAGAGTGTAATTTCACCTGTGCCAGTAATATGTTTATAAGCAACTGAATAAAGCACAAATGTCAGTGCATGTCAAAACATCTCAAGGTAATTTTTACAAAAATATCATGGCCCCCACCCAGAATATTTTTTTATGAATATCTGAACAGACTCTGCTGAAAAACAAAATAAAAAAACATTGTATTCATGCTTCATGCATTTTTTTTTCATCAACACATGAATATGGGTCAGTTTCATTAAAAAAGCTGAGAAAATCACGTTTGTGTCAAAGACTTCATCCAGATCAGGTTCAGAAAGATGATCTAAACATGGAGTCCATTAACACCCCTAATGCTTGCATGGGATCGCTCGTTTTTGCATATTCTTCGCATGTGTTTTGATCAGGAAATTTAGTACTCTTTCAGAAGATGTGTTATAGCGCCCCCTATGGTATAAAAATGAAAACACAGAAAGCCGAAGACAGAAATTCCGTCAATAGCAGGGAATGAGTAAACGCATTATTTGAAGGAATGGCCACTGTGAGTAACTAAGTTTGAATGTACATGGCTGTGTGGGTGAGCCCTGTTGGCCATATATCTAGCATGTTTCCGCTACAGCAGCCGCTGTTTTCACAAGACTTTAAATGATCTCGGATTTACAAATAATTTGGTATACCTCCGCCATACACTTAAATAGCTCCAGAAACCCCTCTGGGTCATCCTGGGTTCTGATCTTGAGGAAGGGCACCTGAGGCAGAGGGTCAGTGGTCACAGGCTTATCCTGGTCTCCTGGCTTATACAGCTCTGCAGCAGCTAAAGGTCCTCCTGAGTGTTGAGGAGAGCACAGAATATTTTGTTCCTTCCGCAGCTCAAGGAGAACTTGATGTTGAGTATGGTAGAGGTTAGCTAGGGATTTCACCAGCTCAGTCAGCTGTGGGGGATTCATGGCAGCGAAAACCTCCATTTTCGGCACCACGGTGCAAGTTCTAATATTGAGAAGAGGGATGAAGGAAGTGGGGAAGGAAGTCAGACAGAAAATATAGAGAGTATATATGAGACTCTTCCAGTTTCCCATACATTTTTTTCCATGCACTGGCAAATAGGGCTGGGTATTGTTCAAAATCTTTCGATCCGGTGCCAATTTCGATACCTCAGTTTCGATACCGGTTCCTAACGATACTTTTTTCGATACCATATGTTTTAAAATCCATTTCAACATCAACAAAAATACATTAAACACAAAACTTTTATTATTAATAAATTGGTTGTGCTTTTTGGATAGGGGTGCGCCAGCAGACACTCAGGATTGGTATCAATCCTATCTTGGCCAAAGTTAACAAAAAAAAAGAAACCTTTTTGACACAACATGAACAAACTCAAGTTTTATGTCTATTGTGATGAAAGAGACCTGGCAACAACTGAAGGTGAAGCAACTCAAAACCTCCATATTTCACCCCCAGACTGATGGGCTTGTGGGGAGGTTTAACAAAACTCTTAAAGGAACACTCCACCGATTTTTGAAATTGGGGTTATTCACTGTCTTCCTACATTTAGATAGGTGGGCAAATGCATTTTTTTGTAACTTTAATGACAAAATAAACATAAACAACAAAAGTAAGTGGCAGCCCCTCAAGGACGACTGGCGCACATAAACTTAACCCTCTGGGGTCTGAGGTGTTTTTGGGGTGCTTGAGATGTTTTGACATGCTCTGACATTTGTGCTTTTTTCAGTTGCTTATAAACATATTAATGGCACAGGTGAAATTACACTCTATTTAGCACAAACAGGGCTACCATAATATGTGAGCAACATGTTTGTACTTTTGAGAGAATATTATTTATGCATGGTTATTGAAAAAACTAAAATGAAAGTTTCTGAAATAAGGCCACAAAACACATACTAAATATGTGTCCACAAAACTTTTGACTAGTGGATGTTGTCGCCTAGAGTTTTTGCTTCAAAATGATCTAAAAATCATCCTGCCTAACCATTCACATAAAACAATAGATTGTTTTAAATTGTGAAAAACATTTTTTTTGTTTGGAAAGGCAATATGCGGATGGGCGTGAACGGCCCAACCCCCTCATGAATAATTAGGTGGTTCATACACACACATATATATATACACTCACCGGCCACTTTATTAGGTACACCTGTCCAACTGCTCGTTAACACTTAATTTCTAAGCAGCCAATCACATGGTGGCAACTCAGTGCATTTAGGCATGTAGACATGGTCAAGACAATCTCCTGCAGTTCAAACCGAGCATCAGTATGGGGAAGAAAGGTGATTTAAATGACTTTGAACGTGGCATGATTGTTGGTGCCAGAAGGGCTGGTCTGAGTATTTCAGAAACTGCTAATCTACTGGGATTTTCACGCACAACCATCTCTAGGGTTTACAGAGAATGGTCCGAAAAAGAAAAAACATCCAGTGAGCGGCAGTTCTGTGGGCGGAAATGCCTTGTTGATGCCAGAGGTCAGAGGAGAATGGCCAGACTGGTTCGAGCTGATAGAAGGGCAACAGTGACTGAAATAAGCACTCGTTACAACCGAGGTCTGCAGCAAAGCATTTGTGAAGCCACAACACGCACAACCTTGAGGCGGATGGGCTACAACAGCAGAAGACTCCACCGGGTACCACTATCTCCACTACAAATAGGAAAAAGAGGCTACAATTTGCAAGAGCTCACCAAAATTGAACAGTTGAAGACTGGAAAAATGTTGCCTGGTCTGATGAGTCTCGATTTCTGTTGAGACATTCAGATGTTAGAGTCAGAA